TTTCTCTTCTTCCTTTGGTAATTCTTTTTTTTCTGGTTCTTTTTTTTTTCTCCTTTCTTCCTTCTTCTTTGTCTCCTTGCGGTAATTTTTCGGTCTTTTTTTTTCCTTCCTTCTCCTTCTTTCTCTCTCCTCTTGGTCCTTTTATTTTTTTTTTTTTAGTTTTTTTTTCCCTTCTTTTCCTTCTTTCCTTTTCTTCTTTCCTTTTTCTTTTTTTTTCCTTCTTCCTTTCTCTCTTCCTTGGTCCTTTTTTCGTTTTTTTTTTTCCTTCTTTTTCCCTTCTTTCTTTCTCCTTTGGTCCTTTTTTCGTTTTTTTTCTTCTTCCTTCTTTCTTTATCCTTTGGTCCTTTTTTTCGTTTTGTTTTTTTTTTTTCCTTTCCTTCTTTCTCTCTCCTTTGGTCCTCTTTTCGTTCTTTTTTTTCTTCTTCCTTTCTTTCTCTCTCCTTTTGGTCCTCTTTTTGGGTCTTTTTTTTTTCCTTCTTCTTCTTTCTTTTCTCCGCTTTGGTCTCTTTTTTGTTTTTTTCCCTTCTTCCTTCTTTCTTTATCCTTTGGTCCTCTTTTTCGTTTTTTTTCTTCTTCCTTCTTTCTCCTTCTTGCTCCTTCTTCCTTTTCTTTCTTTTCCTTTGCGCCTTGTTTGTTCGTTTTTTTTCCTTCTTCCTTCTTTTCTTCTCTCCTTTGGTCCTCTTTTGAGTCTTTTTTTTCTTCTTCCTTCTTTCTTCTCTCCTTGGTAATTTTTTCGTCTTTTTTTTCCCTTCTTCCTTCTTTCTTTCTCCTTTGGTCATTTTTCGGGTCTTTTTTTTCCTTCTTCCTTCTTTCTCTCTCCTTTGTGCTCTTTTTGGGTCTTTTTTTCCTTCCTTCTTCTTTCTCTCTCCTTTGGTCATTTTTTCGGTCTTTTTTTCCTCTTCCTTCTTTCTCCTTTTTTTCTTTTTTCCTTCTTCCTTCTTTCTTTCTCCTTTGGTCCTCTTTTTCGGTCTTTGGTTTGTTCGTTTGTTTCGCTTGTGCTTTGTTCGCTTGTTCGATTCTTTCTTTGTTGGCTTGTTCATTTGTTCGCATATTCACTTGTTCACTTGCTTTTCGTTCGTCCACTTGTTAACTTATTCGTTCATTCACTTGTTCACTTCTTGACTGTTCACTTGTTCCTGTTCTTATTTACTTGTTCCCTTATTCGTTTTTGTTTTACTTGTTCGCTTATTTACTTGTTCACTTGTTCGCGTTTCCTTATATTACTTGTTCCCTTATTCGTCATTCACTTGTTCACTTGTTCGCTTGTTCCCTTGTTGGGTCATTCGTTTGTTCGACTGTTCACTTGTTCGCTGTTGTTTGCCTTTCGCTCGTTCACATGTTCTGTCGTTCGCTTGTTCATTCGTTCGATCGTTTGCATTTCGCTCTTTGGCTTGTTCGCACGTTCGCTTGTTCTTGTTCATTCGTTCGTCGTTTGTCTTTCGCTCGGTCGCCTTTAGCGCGTGTTTAAGTCGTTCGCTCTTTTTTATTTACTTATCGTCATTATTATTATTGTTATTATTATTCTTATTCTTATTATTATGATTACTTTTTTCTGTTTAGGATCTCTTTCTTTTTTCTTTTTCTTTTTTCTATTCCCGTATCCTCATTAATTTTTATTATTGATGTTACTCACTTTTACAATTACTATAAATGTTTTTTGTATTTTGCAATTATTATTATAGTTAGTATTTCTCCTTTCTCTTACATTTATCTGTTTATCCTTATTCCACAATCCCATTTTAAGTTCGAGATGCTTTACGTATTAAGGGGAATAGTAATAGATGATAATAATGTGATGGTAAAAAGAAGACGATGAAGAAATTACCAGAAAACCCGATGAAAAAAAGCATTTTAATCCCATCTATCTCATCATCATCCTCTTCCCTTCTCTTTCTTCCTCTCTTCGCTCATTTCACAAAATAAGGAGAAAGGGACCCCGAAAGTTCGATAAAAAAAAGAGAAAAGAAAAAATAAGCGAAGGGGCAAGGAGGAAGGAGGGGGGGGGGAGGGGGAAGGAGGGGGGGAGGGGGAAGGGAAAGGAGGGGGAAAGAGGGAGGGAGGGAAGGAAGGGGGAGGGGAAAGGAGAGGGGGGAGGGGGAGGGAGGGGAGGGTTAGCCGCCATCTTGAAAACACGATCCGATCCTTAAAACGTTCTTAAACTTTATCGTTCTCCATCGCTTCGCTTGAAACAAAAGAAGGGGTAATTCTCGCGGAGGGAGTGGGGAGGGGAGTGGGGGTAATGGGGGAGGGGAGAGGAAGTGGGGGGGAGGTGGTGGGAGGAGGGGAAAGGAAAGGATGGGGGAGAGGGGGAAATGAAGAAAGTGTCGAAGGAGAGGCGAGGCAGAGGAGGGAGGGAAGAGAGGAAGAAGGACGAAGGAAATGAGGAGGGAGGGGAGGAAGAGAGGAAAGGAGGGAGAAGAGGGAGGGGAAAGGAGGAAAGGAGGGAGAGAGAGGGAGGGGAAGGAGTGGAAGGGGGAAATGAAGATGATTTGGAAGGAGGAGGAAACGAAAGGAGGGAGAAAAAGAGACGAGAGGGAAATTGCGAAAAGCATTAACGAAAACAGTAATGATAAAATAAGAGACACAGGAACAAAAAAAAAAAAAAAAAAACGAAAAACAGTAATAACAAAAGAAAGGAAAAGATAAATCACTAACAGATAAACAACAAACTAAGAAACAAAAAGAATAAAGAACAAAACAAAAAAAGCAGCAATAACAGAGAAAAGAAAAGAGAAATCGATAAATAGAAGAAAAAAAAAACTCTGAGAAAGCCAAGGTGACTTCTGAGATTTTTAAAAAGTCCCTCGAAGACACACACAAAGCCTGTGCGGTCAAGTGTCACTTCAAGCCACCTCTCGAGTGTTACGCTTTACCTGTGCAGCTGACCTTTGACCTCTGACCTCTGACCTAAGCTCTGGCACGGACAATGACCCCGTGACCCGAGAGCGTAAGTCTCCCTGGGCAACAAGAGGTCGTGTTTGGCCTGGTCGATATATTTGGGGGGTTTATTGATCTTTGTTAACTGGGGGGAAGGGAGGGGGAGGGGGATTAGGTTAGAGGGTATGGGTGAAAGGGGGTTGGATAGGGGTTTATGGGAGGGGGCGAGTTGGGGAAGATAGGGGGGGGGCTGGGTGGTGGGAGAGGGGGGTATGGGAGTTAAAGGTAGGGTATGAGAGTGAAAGGGGGGAGGGGAGGTAGGGGGAGGGTGAAAGGGGGGTTGGATAGGAGTTATGGGAAGGGGGGATGGGTGGGAGAGGGAGTGGATGGGAGTGGGATGGGGGTGGGTGGGAGAGGGAGAGGGTAGGGGAGTAGGGGGATTGAGTAGGGGAGAGGGAGGGGGTATGGGGGGTGAAAGGAGGGGGGAGTATGGGGAGTCAAAGAGGGGGGATTGGGGTAGGGGAGAGGGAGGGGGTATGGGGTGTGAAAGGCGGGGGGAGGGAAGCGTAGGGGGTGTGGAGAGTGGAGAGGGGGGTTGGGTAGGGGGGAGGGGAGGGAGGGAACTTCAAGTAGATTATTTTTGCTGATCGGAGAGGGTGGGGGAGGGGTGGGGGTGGGGCAAAAGAGAGGGAATTGAGTACGGGGGAGGGAGGGAGGGGTGGGGGGGTTGTTGAAGTGGATTAATTTCTATTGAACTTTGTTAGTGGGGTGGGGGGGGGGGCGAAGAGGGGAATTAGGAAGGGGAGGAAGAAGAAAGAAAAGAAAGAATGGAGGAATAAAGGGTGGAGATGGAGAGGGAAGGACAAACAAATGGCGAGAAAAGAGAAGAATAAGAAAATAGATATAAAACACAAGAAAAGAAAAAGAAAAAGTAAGTCAGAAACGGGAAACGAAGAAGGGAAGGGAGAAGAGAATTAGGGAACACAAAAAATGGATATGAATGAAAAGAAACGAGCTGACAAAGAAAGGAAGAAAGGAAAAAATAATATGATAAAGCAAAGGGAAATGGAGGAAGTATAACCACTCAGAGAGAGAGACAGAGAGAGAGAGAGAGAGAGAGAGAGAGAAGGAGAGAGAGAAGAGAGAGGAGATAAGAAAGAAGAGAGACAGACAGACAGACCGACAGAGAGAAGAATAGAGAGGGAGCGAAAGAGAAGAAGGAGAGAGAGAAGAGAGAGAGAGACGGAGAAAGAGAGAGACGAGAGAGACGAGAAGGAGGAGAGGGAGTGAGAGACAGACAGGAGGATAGACCAGAGAGGAGAGAGACAGAGAGAAGGAGACAGAGAGAGAGACAGAACAGAGACAGAGACAGAGAGAGAGAGAGAGAGGGGGGAGGAAGGGGGGGGGGGGGTGCTGGCGGAGATAACAAGCCCCGCTATTGAATTTCATTAGAAAGTAAAAGGCTTATCGCTGTTCCCTTTGGAGCATTTAAAGTGGATATTTATTTGAACCGTAACTGATTTCCACGCACATACGCACATGGGCACGCACACATACGCAGACATGTAGCGTGTGTGTGTAAGCTTTCTTTTTCTCGCTTCTTTTTTTCTTCGTGCTTTTTTCTCTCTCTCTCTTTCTTTCTTTCTTTCTTTCTTTCTTCTTTCTTTCTTTCTTTCTTTCTCTCTTTCTTCTTTCTCTCTCTTCTCTCTCTCTCTCTCTCTCTCTCTCTCTCTCTCTCTCTCTCTCTCTCCCTCTCTCTCTCTCGTCTCTCTCCTCCCTCTCCCTCTCGCCTCTCCCTCTCTCTGCTCTCTCTCCCTCCCCCTCTCCCTCCTTCCCTCTTCCCCCTTCTCCCACCCTCATCCCACTACCCTACCTCCCTTCGTCCCTCCCTCCCCATCC